TCCCGCACCCATCCTGGGGAGGGCGAGCCAAAAGCCGTCCCGTGTCCTGGCCGGTGCCTCTCTGGAGCCTGGGCCTTTGGCCTTGGGGCTCAGCACCGTCGTGTTTTGAAACAGGGCAGACCTTGGTTCTCTGTGTGCCCAGCCGGGGGGGAGATGACGACGCTAACGCACCGAGGGCGGCGTGCTGAGGCGGGAAGGAACTCGGAGAAGAAGCCTGACGGCGAGGAAGATGCGGCTGCGGACCTGAATGACGATGATCCCGACGACTCCAAAGATATCCGCCTCACGCTGATGGAGGAGGTGCTGCTCCTGGGGCTGAAGGACAAGGAGGTAAGGCAGGCGTCTGCGATGGCTGCGTGTGCAGCGGTGCCAGCGCTGCCTTGGTGCACCTGGAGGCGAGGTTCTCGGTGAGCGGCAGAAGGGATCGTACGAGTTCCTCTGAGTCCTCTTCAACAAAGCCAGCCTGCTCGGCTCAAACCGCCTTCGCCTGTAGCTTAAACCGGGCTGTGGAGATTGCTTGCAAGTGCTGTCCCACCAGCTCTGCCATGGGGACTGTAGCGAGTGGCTGAAGGCAAGGGGTGCCCTGCCATTTGTGGAGCAGAGTTGGGTTTGGTTTTTGCCAGGGTCAAAGATGTGGGGTAAAAGGAGCCTCACCTTGTGCACCAGATGGTAAGCGTCCTCCCCCCACCCCAAGTGCACTTTCCTAACCGAAACCATCAGCTGAAGCGCAGAGACACTCTGAGCACTGTTTCTGCTTCCTTAAAAATTGATGTGAAAAATGGCAGGGGCACGTTTTGAGAGAAGAGGGCGAGGCAAGAGAAGGCAGCTGGGCCGGGAGCTGAAAGTGGGCGCGGGATGGGTCTGCACACAGCAGTGGCAAAGGAGGTCGGAGCCGCGGCTCCGCTTTCTGCCCGGCGATTTCCTCAGCCAGGCAGGGAAGGCGGCCGGGAGCTCCAGGCCTGGGGGGAGTGGGGCTGGGCGGGAATCTGCTGGGCGCTCGCCTCGCCCATGTGTGTTGGTTTAATGGCTTTCCTTGGCGGCAGCGAGCGAACTTCACAGCCGCTGGTTTTCAGGGGGTTGTTTGCTGCTGGAAAGGGACCCTGGTCAAACTGAATTGTTCTGCCCTTATCAGCTGGGAGGAACTTGTTTCTCAACTCTGCTGAGAGCGAGCCGTGGGGATAGGAGAAGACATCTCGCGCTGAAGCCTCTGAGCTGCTCGGCTCTTACCGGCCGTGTCGGCCTGCCTTGTCCTCAGCGCATGCATCATCTTGGTCTCTTTGGGGGAATCTGATGCTGCTATTCCTGTCAAGAAGATGGGGAAATCGAGACCAGGGGAAGCTAACCAGTTGCCCAAGGTGCTTCTTGGGATGATAATGGCAGAGGAGAGCTTTAAATACAGGTTTTTCAGATCCAGGAGCACTCTTTCTACAAGTCTGTCTCCCACCCTGAGGAAATAAGACGCTGTGGTTGTCAGAGCTGTGGTAGATGGGCCACCTTCTCTTCATCTCTTTCTCTGGGTTGAAATTAAGCCCCTGTGAGGTGCCTGAACTTTTTTTTGTGTAGGGCCCTGCTACTGCTGAGCCAGTCTGAGCTGCTGCCTTGCTTTCACCTGGACCCGCTCAGGCCATGGCTTCTGATGTGGACCTCGCTCGCAGATCCGGCAGGGGGGAGCTGCGGGTTGTGCCCATGGCAGAGCTGTCCTGTTTAACGACCCCAGATAAGACCTAGGACTTGCTGAGCCCAATAGGAAGTAACAGGAGAGCAGGGCTATAAAGAGATCAGCATGCAAATCGTTTTGGAGCAAATATTTGAGAGCAGCCTAGGAGCGTGGCATGTTCTGCTTTCTTCCCAGGCTACGTTTGGTATTCTTGGCTTGGTTAATGTGTTCCTGGGAAAGGTCCTTCAGCCACCAGGAAGTCAGGAGAGCACAATAGATATGAAAAAAAATTGTCACAGGTTTTCCCCCACCACCACCTCCATCCTGTCCTTCCACATTCCTCCGCCTCAGAAGGAAGAGCAGAGGCAGCAGGAGCCTGGCTGTGAGCTGGGCTCCCAGGAATTTGGTTTTCCCAGCTCTGTTGTTCACTCGTGGTTTGATGACTGGGGAAAAAAAAAGAAAAAAGGACAATTTTAGGGAAATCCACTGAGCTGACAGTGTAATCTCATTATTTTAAGTCCAAGTCTGTCCATCTAGCAGAAACTGGCTGCACACCAGCCTGGCACCTGTAACCAGTCTGATTCCAGAAGCTAAAAGAACCCGGGAGCTTTGACTTGTTTGATTTCAGACCCCTTAAAATTTCCTAGGGGTAACGTGCCTTTCAGCCCAGTGGATTTAAACTTTCGCTCACCTCCGCACCCTTTTCTGGAAAGCTGCTTCCTACAGGGCGTGTGCAGAAACGCGGGCGTCAGCAAGGCTTTGCCTTGCCTCACACGGAAGTGAAGAGAGCAAATAAAGACTTTTCATTTCTTTTACAGTTCTCTGTGCTACGTGAGCTGAGCAGCCTGGTGCCAGATGCACTGTATGAACAAGCATGCGGGGGAACAGGGATTTACCCTCATAAAAACGTCTGTGGCAGAGGGCTGCGTGTTCTCAGCCTTTTTCCTAAGGAAAGGGGGTTCTGGGGCTGCTTTGCAGTCTCCTGGGAGCTTTTAGAGCTGCCCTTTCTGTCCTTCCCCCCCCATTCCCTCCAGAGAAAATGAAAAGGGGGTTACGAGCAGGCCGTAGCGCTTCTGGGCTATCAGCGTCCCCTGCAAATAAGCGTGTTGTGACTTTGCGTCCCTTGGGCCAGTGCCAGCCCCGCTGCCAGCCCCCCTGCCTGCCTGGACCAGCTTCTCCCTGCAGCCCTGAAATCCCCGGGCTGCTGCCTGTGCCGCAGTGTGGGGCTGGAACAACCGGGCTTTGTTCTAATCGGGGCATAAAAGACAAGTGGAGGAAGGGAATGGAGAGGTCGCCGAGGCTGCCCCGTTGCTTCCAACCAGGAGCAGTTCTCTCCTGAGAAGCATCAGCTGAAAGTTCTTAAACCTCAAGGGACAGAGGCTTCTTTTCCTAGCCCCCGCCTCCAGGGGCAAACTGTTCCTGGGCTTTCTTGTCCGGATGGGTATTTCTTGCTGGTGCCCAGCTCTGATCTCTCTGGCTACAACTGTACCCCAGGACTGTCCTGTGCACAGTGGAAGTGGGAACCGGCCATTCCCTTCCTTTTTGCTGCTGCTTTTTACGTCAGACACCCACTTATCCTGTTCTCCCTCTGTCGTCTCTTCCCTGGACCGAAAACCCTGATCCAATTGCTGGTTCCTTGTGGGTCGTATTTTCCAGACCTCTGCACCTTCTTGTTGCTTTGCCAAATGTCTTAATGATTTTGGAGCTTGCACTTTTTGGGGTGAGGACCCTGTCCCGTGGCAAGCTTGGGGCCCGGAGCGGAACGTGCTGCGTCTGAGCAGATCCGGTCAGGAGCAGTA